AAGAGATGCCTCTAGCTTCAGTGGGCCGGGAGCAAGAGGCAGAGCTGAAGCCCAAGGTCAGGGGGCTTTCACACAGCCCCTGGAGCCTGACATTTTGAACTTGGACTTGAAGCATCCAAACTGTAAGAAAATAAACTCTTGTTTGTTCAAGCCATTCCATTTGTGGTATGTTCTTGTCAGAGCGGCACTAGGTAACTAGAACAGATTCTGAGTGCCAAAGGTTGTAAAATATTGGAACTTCTTGTAGTCTCAGTTGCACACTATCAATCATAGCCTGAGGAGCTCTGCTGGCACAATGGTTAAAGCATTCAGCTGCTAATCAAAATGTTGGCAGTTCAAACCCCTTAGCTGCTCCATGGGAGAAAGATGAGGCAATGTGTGTGCTTCTGTGAAGATTTACAACCTTAGAAACCCTGTGGGGCAGTTCTCCTCTGTCCTGTGGGATCACTATGAGTTAGAACTGACTCAATGTCAGTGGGTTTGGTGTGGTTTTGGAAGGATAGCTTTAGTCTTCAGAGAGGCAAGAAGACACAGGTAAATACACAACCACTTGTACTAATGTGGGTTGAAGAATCAGGTTCTTTCTATTTCTGAACCTTTCAAAAATAGCCTCAAATTCAGTATAAATTCTTGAGGGTATTTAAGCCAATTTCCCCAAACTTTAAGTAGTTTGAACTGTAGTTTGTACTCAACAACGCACTTTTTTTTTTTCCTCCTTCTGTTGTGAAGATGTCCAGTCCACAGTTAAACTGACAGAAAGCCCATCTATCTTGGTTATATTATTTTATGACAGTTGTAAACAAGACCAGTCTTGGTAAACAAGACCAGTCTTGGCTTTTTCACTCAGCAAAGAACAGACACACACAAACAGCTTTCTGTGTAAGATGAGGAGAGGGAAATCTGATGGAGAGGGTGGTTAGTAGTGATGGTTGGGTTTGAGGCAGATACTATGCATTTGAATTAGTCTTTGACTGAGGTTTGAGATGTTTCTAAATGACTTCCAGGTGGCCCAGCCCTTATGTACAAATGAGGCTGTTCTTTTGTAACAATGACTCTCTGTTTCCTGCCCCTTTTTCTATTTTAATGATTGTAATGGATGCCCTGTATTATTGGCTGGTAGATGTTGCTTTTGACTAGACAGAAAGTTAGGAAATTTTAGGTTCTGAAGCATTTTTCTTTCTTTCTTTTTTTTTTTTTGGCACTTTTTGAATAAATCTTTGTTTTCCTTTAGACCTGAGGTTTTCCGCATTTTGAATTGGAACGTTACTTAGAATTATAAAGTCATGGCCTTTTAGAGGCTAGAAGAGTCCTTAGATATCATTATATAGATTAGGAAATCAAGGCCTCAGAACAGTGTGTGGGCTAGGTCTAGAACCTGGTCTCCTGAGCCATGTCACCTGTCTTCATCCCTTAGACTCTAAATGAATGAGAGGATTATTATGAGAAGAGAAGATAGCAAGATGCAGTAGAAAAAGCACAGCCTTTGTTACTGGACAGCCTTAGCTTTATTACTTAATTATCTGTGAATGTGGGCAAGTTTCTTCATCTTTCTGAGCCTGTTTTTCATCTCTAGAAGGGGGAAGAGTGCTTACCTCATCGTTTGTTTTGAAAAGTGAATGATTTTTTTTTTTTTTTCTCAACTGCCTTTTTAACACATTTATCTGTACCTTTGCAATGACTTGTGCAACATTTATAAACTTGTAGAACTGAAGTCATCGCCTATTTAGAAAGCTGTTGTCTGTGGTAAGGTCAGCCCCATGAGGAGAAACTGACATACTGTAATTCATACATTAGTGCCTAGTTGTTATTAGTTGCCATCAAATAGGCTCTGACTCATGATGACTCCAAGTTGTACAAGAGAACAAAATGTTGCCAGTCCTGCTCCAGCTTCAGGATAGTTGGTGTGCTGGAGAACATTGTTATAGTCACTTTGTATTTTGAGTACCATTCAATCTTTGGGACTTACCTTCCAGCACTATATCAGGCAATATTCTGTTATGATCCATTAGATTTTCATTGGCTAATTTTTGGAAGTAGATTGCCAGACTTTCATTGTCTACCACAGTCTTTTCCACTGAAACCCATCCACCCTGCTGGTATTTGAAATATTGGTGGCATAGTTTCCTGCATCATGGCAACAATATACAAGCCACCACACTATGACAAACTGACAGATGGGGAGTGGTATTACTTAATACAATCTTTCTTTTCAGCTTGACCCTTTGGTGATGGATGGGTGGAGTGCAAATGAAGGAGGCATGACAGTTTCTTTCTTTTCTTTTCCTTGTAGCCATCTACCATACCTGTGAGGCCTCCAACTTCCAGTGCCACAATGGGCACTGCATCCCCCAGCGGTGGGCCTGTGATGGGGACATGGATTGCCAAGATGGTTCTGATGAGGATCCAGTCAACTGTGGTAAATGTGGATGCTTCTGCCCCCACCCAGAGCTTCTCTAGTACCTGCTGTTCCAGAAAAGAGAGAACAGATGGGCCAGGAAATTAAATGCTGTTGTGCTGTACCGGTATACCCATGCTCACAATTAAACAGACCAACCTCTATGTTGCATTGACACATACTATATGTTGTTGTTGTTGTTGGTTGACATTGAATCAATTCTGACTCAGGTCATCCTTATGTATAAGAGAAGGAAACATTGCCCAGTCCTGGGCCATTTTCATGATCTTTGATATATTTGAGCCTGTTGTTGTGACTAATGTGTCCATCCATCTCAGTGAGGGTTTCGTCTGTTTTCAGTGACCCTCTGCTTTACCATACGTGAAGTCCTTTTCTAGCATTTATCTTTCCTGCTGAGAAGACAGTCATGCCATCCTTGCTTCCAAGGAGCATTCAGTTTATTTCTATATAGTATGTAGGAGTGCGATACATAGTCTTAATCCTCAAGCAAACAGTTTGTCTCACCACTTATCCATGACAAATTTTTAACACCTTTGAAGAAAGGAAATAGAAACCAAGTAATGCACCCAGCACCCAGACTGCTAACTGTAGCCACACTTCCATTGTTCTGCCGGAAGTTAGCCAATAATTCTTGTATAAATAGCATATTTTAGGATTGCAAACATTCTGTTCTGATCCCTTGGGAAAATAGCTCAATACTTCTAAGGTAGAATATTTTTGGTGTAGTTGATTTTGTAAAATTCTGAGACATTTAATCACCTTTGTAATAGAAAATGAACAATTACAAAATAGCAGTCACACGAAATATACAAGATCTCTCTTTATACTAGGTATTTATCAAGTTCTCTTTTTCTTGCCCTTTTGCCATATATTCCACTTTTGATGAGATTGTAGTCATTGTCTGAATTTTATTATGCATTCTACTCCTATCGTGTCACAGTACTAAATACTATTTTTGTTGTTAGGTGTTGTAGAGTTGGTTCCAACTCATAGAGACCCTGTGTGTAAAAGAACAAATACTGCCTGGTCCTGTGCGATACTCATAATCATTGCTATGTGTGAGCCCATTGCTGCAGCCTCTTTGTCACTCCATCTTGTTGAAGGTCTTCCTCTTTCTCACTGACTGTCTACTTTACCAAGCATTATGTCCTTCTCTGGGCACTGGCTCCTCCTGATAACATGGCCAAAGTCTTGAGATAAAGTCTCACCATCCTCACTTCTAAGGAGCATTCTGGCTGTATCACTTACAAGACTGAGTTGTGTGTTCTTCTCACAGTCCATGGTGGTGGTGGTTGTTATGTGCCGTCCAGGGGGCCCTGACTCATAGTGACTCCTTCTTGGCTTTCTGAAGGGGTATCACTACAGAAGTAGATTGCCCAACCTTCCTTCCGAGGAGTGGCTGGTGGGTTTGAACCGCCAGCCTTCTGGTTAGCAGTCAAATGTCTTAGGCACTATGCTAATATTTTTCACAAACACCATAATTCAAAGGCATCAATTCTTTGATCTTCCTTATTCATTGTCCAGCTTTCACATGCCTATGAGGTGATTGAAAATCCCATAGCTTGGGTCAGGTATACCTTAGTCCTCAGAGTGACATCTTTGCTTTTTAACAATTTAAAGAGGACTTTGCAGCAGATTTGCCCGATGCAGTGGGTGTTTGATTTCTTGACTGCTGCTTCATGGGTATTGATTGTTAATCCAAGTAATATGAAATCCTTGATAACTTTTGTCTTTTCTCCATTTATCATGATGTTGTGCAGATTTTTGTTTTCGGTATGTTGAGGTGTAATCTACACTGAAGACTGTAGTCTTTGATCTTCTTCAGTGAGTGCTTCAAATCATCTTCACTTTCAGCAAGCACAGCAAGCAAGGTTGTGTCGCCTGCGTATCATAGGTTGTTAGTGAGTCTTCCTCCAATCCTGATGTTGTGCTCTTCTGCATATAATCCAACTTCTCAGATTATTATGTTAAATACATGATATATATATTTATGTTCTCATATATCTGCATATTGTTGTATTTAGCATTTTTATGGAAGCTCAAACTTATTTAATTATTCCCTGCTTGGGCATTTGGATGTTTTTTAGTTTTACAGTGTTAGGCATAGTATAGCTATTCTTATCTTGAAAATGACATGTTTGTTTTTCTTTTGTGATATTTTCTGGGATATGTTCCTCAATATGGAATTATCGGATCAGAGGTTCTGATCAGTTTTTTGATTCTCAGTGTGTTTCCAGATTGCATTTCCAAGTAATTTTAACAAATGTTTTCCCAAGTCTCCTTTGATGGTACGTTTTATCTTTGTAGTTGTATTCACTCATTTAATGAGTGTGAGTTTGTCTTGTGTAATTTTAATTTATACTTTATTTTTTGGTTTTGTGTTTAGTGACTTTAAACACTAAGGTAAGAAACTAGTTGCTGTGAAGTTGATTCGGACTGGTGGAACCCCCGTCACATTGGTACTGTGCTCTGCAGTGTTTCCACTGCCTCCTATTTTCCAAGTACATCACCAGGCCTTTCTTCTGAGGCTCAGCTGGGTGGTCTCCTCCGTGCGTTTGCTTAGCGGCCAAACAGGTTCACCATTTGCACCACCCAGGGACTCCTTTCCCGAAGTGGTGGTACTCATTTGCCATTTCTTTTTCTGTTTGCTGTTCTTATGACTAATCTTGTGACCTCTTGTTGTTGTTGTTGTTAAGTGCCATCGAGTCGTTTCCGACTCATAGCGACCCCATGCACAGCAGAATGAACTACTGCCCGATCCCGCGCCAGCCCCACAATCCCTGCTATACTTGATCCCATCATCGCAGCCACCATATCAATCCATCTTGTTGAAGGCCTCCCCCTCTTTCGTCGACCCTCCACCCTACCAAGCATGACATCCTTCTCCAGGGAATGGTCCCTTCTT